ATTCGAGGAACGAACGAAATAACACAAGCACGCGTGATCGAATGCGGCGCTCCCTCAGAGCCAACTGCGCCCTCGCACTCGCATCGACTGACACAGATGTGGAAAAAGGAAACAAAAACAATGGCAAAAGTGAGTTCGGATTACTGTACTTGACTGAAAAAGTCCATATATTTTCTACGGTTATGCGCAAAAAAAAGGCAATCCTTCCTGTCTGGTTACGAATGAATCAAACCCCGAGTTCGAGCTCAGACTGATGACTGTCGATTATCAATGCGAAGTTCGATCAGAAACGAAATTCAAGTCCCCAGAGAGAAGACAGAGTCTCAGCTGATGAAGAATATAAAAAAAGCAAAAGAATGAATTCATATCCGACTGAGTAAGTTCACGCTTTGCCATTCACAAGATTTCCTCCGGTCTTTTAAAATTTGCAAGCAAGAGAGTAAGCGCGTTATTCACCATCAAATTGTTATATTCATTTCTCGCAATTACCGTATTTTCCGAGCAAACGCCTGAAAAAAAACTGAAGTGTTGAAGATTATGCTTACACAGGATTTAAAACAACATTTTTTACTTGAAGTTGTGCCAGTTAAAACCATATCAGAAGTTGAAAGGTGTCTGAATAACTGCCTTAATTATTGCTCGAACTGATCGCTAGCTTGTCGAATATTTCTGCAATGAACAAAACTTCGAGTATTTTATTGTTTAGTACCAGTTCAACAGCTGATAAACACAAACGAGACGCACATTCAAGGAAATAAAGCTTTATTTGTCGGCTCGAAACGTAGAAAATATTATTGTATATTGTACCTGTCCACATATATTGTCTGAATAGTACAATGAATGAAAAACAAAACTCGCAAAGAATAATGAAAACATTGAATACCATTATCTCGAATTGGAAACTTCGCTTATGGATTAATGTATATCAGATTTTCCTGAATCAGACACATATTTAGGAAATATGTGTACCACTTTTGCCGAATGAAAATGTACATATTACCAATTCCTAATAAATTTAATCTTTCATTCTGCCAAAAAAATCTAAGCATCATCTACACCCAAAACTTAACGTTACATAACACATCTGATCGGGAAGTGCCACGCATTCACAAAGGAAAAAAAAGAAGGACGGAAAAGCGTGGGAACAAAGAAGAAGAAATAATTGCGCGCTTTGCAACGTTTCGAATACGGTATAGACGATGAACCCGTGTGTGTTCCGCTCGTATATAAAGGCACACGTACGTCAAACACAGATAACGTGCATAGGATTGCCCCATTCTTCGCACCTGTCAAATATATCAAGTCTGTCATGCGGTTTATGAAAACTCTCATGATCTCGACATAATGTTCAACTATATATATGGAAGACAAGTCGTCAGGATGCACACACGTACTGGCAGATGTTCACCTGATATTTTTTTTTCAATTGAATAAAACAACAATCGCGATCAGGACCCATAATCGGAACTGTCGGAAATCGAGGATCGTCGGGGTAACTTTGTGTTTTCACTTTCGTGCTGCAGCACTCCATTCATATGAAAGGCATTGTTGATGTGTATGTTTTTATGCCGCTTAAACTTGACAAAAGATGATCGTGTGGCTCTCTAAGGAAATAAAATAAAATCGTTTTACTAAAAATTCGTAATCGTCTAGGAGAAGGTCAAATCAGAAGAAAACTTGTGTGATTATACGATATCGGAATAAAAATAAATTAAACGTATTTTATAATACCAAAATTAACGTAGGTGAAAGGTTTTTGGCCATTAAAAAAAACGATATCATCGAAATCCATGTAACAAATAATTCTTCAGCCTTGTTTGAATCAAATTTTCAAGAACACCCGAAAAACTCCGAGAAATGTATTTTTGTGAAGAGCGTGAATTTCCGGATGTATATGAGTGCTTTATACAGTAATTTATGCACTCATTCCGCAGACTAATTTACGAGAATTTTCTTCAAATTCAGAACTTTTTTCCGTGCAGCATTTTAAATGAATAAAATAGCTTGAGCAGGAAACGCAGAAAATTTTACTTTTTATTGTGTGAGTCGTGCTGAAATGAAGTACAGCTGGTACAGTATATAACCCGCTTATAAAATCTTATTATTTCAAAGTCTTCGTATCTACTCAACATCCAAGAGAAACGTCAACTTCAATTTTTTGGATTTTAATACTGTACAATTTACAGACTTCCCAATAAAGTGGTAGCCACATTTGAACAGCCTTGGTTTTCCTCAGAACGAAGACCACTATCTTAAAAGGCTGAAGATAATTTCGTTTAACCTCAATTTGCAACTCTTTTTTCCGTTTTTTGAAAATGCATCATTCCTTAAACTCGTTTGCAGACTCCTCAGAGATTGCGGGTCGTTATTCGAGACGGTTGTTTGTCGGGATGCTGCGCAGTACAGTATTTTATTGTACATTGTGAATTTCCATGTCATTATTTAATCTCCATGCATTCGTGTAATCGTGACATTGGCTTCCTGGATCACGGTAATAAAAAAGAAGAAACATGTGTAGCGGAATTCATCGTTTTCACCCTTGCACACGCGTGATGGTTTGCAACTCTTCTTTTTTTTCCCGAAACAAAGCAATATAATGCCGGAAATCAAAATCACTTTACCGAGGGTGGAAAACAACAGAGTCATCAATCTCTCGCCGGACACCTCGGGTACGGGTTCTCGCCAGCGCATTCCATCCCGATGGGATCGTCCGGGGTCGGGAAGCAGGGAGGGCAATTGCCGCAAACTGCCATGATCACTTCCGCTGGCAGACGAGCACTTCCCTTTCCGGTCGGATCGCAATAGTCGCAAGGGGGACCCAGTCTGCAATCCCTGTTCGGAATCACGCCACCGCAAGTGTACAGGGGACCCGCACCCACGCTAGCTAGTTCTGAGTCGATGGGTTCTTTCATGAATGCCACTGCAGTCCTCGCAGGCACAATGTAAACATCGCCCATGGTCAACACTTCGTCAATCCATCTGAAATATGAAGGGGGAATGCATATAATGCCTCAGTTCATCTCTTCATTTTCCTCACAATTATTATGATAACCATTGCGTGATTATAATCGGTAAAAGGAAATACAATACAATATCGACCAACCCCAGTGGGGAGCTATTTTTGCTGTGACCCCACAGTAGGTGCACACCAGGGTCACAACTGGTGCATATGGGATATTCTGGGGTTACAAGTGTGCACTCCTGAACAGGAAATTTTGCTATCATTCCAGGGCTACGCTTGGTTCACAAATGTGACATAAAAGGAGTATTGCACAAATGCACCAACTGTAACCTTGGTGTAGCTTATTTGTTCACAAATGTGCAAATTTATTATTTTTTGAGGCCTGATTAGAGCAATTCGGGGACCGTTGCAAGACAACTGTCCCTGAAAATGAATGACAGACATTCATTTATTCATTGTTTTAAAATTTTGTGGTGGTGTCAGATAATCTCAGAAAAAAAACCAAAAGCTTTGGACTGTACCGTACGGCAATTTCATGGGAAAAATTTGCTCATATGGGAACACTTCTTGCAAATACTGTGCCGTAAGAGTGCAGTTATTTATGAATATATAGCAGATGTACTCTCTCTCTCTCTCTCTCTCTCTCTCTCTCTAAAAAAATGAAAAACATAGTTGTAGACATAATTTCGTTGCAGAGAAACATAACAAGGGAAGAGAACAGTATGGGACCACAAATTTCGTTCTACTGATGATATCGTTTTAGACGAGATCATTGTAAAGAGAGTCAACCTGCTGTACTTTCTACCTAAACACAATCACAAAGAACTGCAGTATACAACTGATTATTATGGCTTTTCCGTTGTGATTTTGCACTTGAGGAACATAAAAATTCAATAAACAACAAATCTAAAATTTAACGTCTAAACGGGAAAGTCAGGTAATTCTCCGGACATTTACAGCACGAGGAATTCAAACTGTCACAATCGAAGCACAAATGGAAAAGGAAAATTTGCACTTCAGCCGAGATGTTGTGTGATATCGAACTTTCAATTTATAGTCCACATGTGATCATTTCGATCAGGGGTTCGAATAAATACATTAACTGCATATTCCTCACTTTTGCAATGCGTCGAAGTTGTGTGTCCAATCACCCTGGAACCAACTGGCGTGAGTGAACAAATTAAATGGTGTCCTGTTGCCATTGTAATGACGGTAGAAATTTGCCCCTAGCAATTCCAATGCTTCCGCTTCACTCTCCGGTCTAAAAAATGAAAAAAATTATCAGAATTATTTCCAAATATGATGGATTCTCTTTCATGCATGAAACACGTATGTCTGACCTGCCACTGCACTGATCCAACATGGCGCACTCAATTCCCTTGGTGTCGTTCAAATCGTTGATGGGAACTTGCCAAATTCCGGGGAAAGCATCACTTGGACACGGTGGGATCGGGCAATCCTGATTTCAAGATATGAGAAGGACAACATGCAGATCAAGATTTTTGAAGAAACGGGAAAATTTTTTTTTGACAATATGGCTGCCGATCGAGTGACGAATAACCATATTAAAATTTGTATACGCAATTTCCGCCATTTATGATCAACGATACGCACTGTATTCTAAAAATGAACACAAGTTCGCGACAATTGAGAATAGAGTTTTCCTTTATTTGAGCTACAAACGTTTTCTAATTTTTATTCGTGTCGCGCATCAACTTAAAGTTCAGTTGAATTTATTTTTAAATTTTATTTCTAGGAGTGGTCGTCGCGACGCCTCTGAGAATAAACATAACACAAATTATTCTTGAAAGTGCGTGTCATTTACACCAACAGAACTTGAACATCATTCAAAGGTGAATCGAATTCACTTCACTTTCAGGCTATTTTTTTTTATAAATTGACATCTTCAAATCGAATTACAAATGTATTTTATTTTCAACCCTTTAATTGCACAGTACAGTATTTCCGGGGAGTTACTTGAGTTCATAATTTCATCTCTTGAACGATTTGTGGCATTCCTCTCAACTTTCCAACCATCAAGTAGACTTTTAATCATCGTTGTTGCCAAGGAAAATCCAATTAAATTCATTGTCAAAAGGATTCGGAACTCACCAAGAAAAGGTTCTCTTGGTAGACGAAATCGTAGGTGTACGGCCAAATTCCGGTGTCCATTTGCTGCCTCGTCGGGCGAGAAGCATCGTACGTGAATCCGTTATCTCGTATCATTTGTGTGTAATTGTTTCCGTTCATTTGTAGAAAAGGTGCTCGCACGCCAGTTATTTGACCTGGTGGAATCCGTGCGTATTCCTCGGTGACCAAACGCAAACCAACCATTTCCTTGGTGTATTCCTCCAGGGGCATATCCGCCCAACTTTCAGCAGGAACTTTATGGCTGAAGACAATTGGCGAAAAGACTTGGATAATTAAAAAAAAGGAATTTTGCATAGGGTCTCGTCCCTGATGGAAAGAATATTCCTGGCATTCGAATAAAGCTGGGAACTATTAACATGAACCATCCTAAACTTGAATCCAGCCATGAAAGTAACTTTTTTTTAGAGAGAGAATTGCTGTCAAGAAAATGTCTTCGTCTTCTGGTCCTTGGTTCAATTACTTTAGGTATTTGAAGATGGTTGCCTCCATTTGGAAGATTTCAATGTAAATTGCTTTGATTTTTGAGTACTTGCTGGCTTTTTGGTGGATTGCACTGCTGTCAAACATGTTTTCAAGCTGATTATCAGCTTTTATGGTTGAAATTTGATTAATCAAACCTCCCTAAATTGGATTCCTTCCAAATTCAGATTTTTTTCCAGTCCTAGTCTGAATTCCCTTAGAAACGATGAATTAAAAACCTCCCTTACATAACTCTGAGGCTTTCCTATAAGCAGACCTCCATAGTATATGCCTCAAAGTTTCTGGAGGCATTTTTCTATTATTTTATTGACACAGGGAAGAGAAAAGCCAAAAAGTAAATTTTTTAAAGAAGTGAAAGACTAATTGGGTAAATAAGTCCTTCTTTCCAAGTTTAGCATCCTGTCAAGTCATTTAAGAAACAATTCAAGGCCTAAAATATCACTAATTCCAATATCCCGTGATTCTTTTTTCTTTTCCCCAACAAAAATGCTCGCTTCCCTTACATAGAAATTCGGAGCCTCTCTGATTAGTCGATTTTTTTTTTGTTCGCTGAAGGTCCCTTGCAGTTTGACTTGAAAAGGTTCGACTGTTATTTCAAAATAATTTCAAATATAATCGAACTTACGTCATTGAATGCGATCCGAGTTCATGTCCCATTCTCCACAAATCGTGCACCAAGGAATAATTGGTGTAATCATGCTGCAGGAAAAACGAGCCTCGGAATGAATATTTGAGAAAAACAAATTCGCCTTTCATTGTACAACAGAGTTTCTCAATTCATTTTTACACCGGGAGCCATTTCTATGAAACAAGTTTTAAATTTCAGCGACGCGCGTTTCAAATCAATATTGAAGGCAGTATTCTGGAGCATTTAATTTTCCTGGTCTTGGGAAGGGGTAGCTCTTGGAAATGGAAAAAATGCCTGTTAGGAAACAGTCGATCACAGGTCAAAATCCGTTGCTAATTTACATTAGAAGTTCCTAACGTTTTTGCATCGTGGAACATTCTTAGTTTCAATTTATACTGTGAAGTTTTCAATGCCTTTTTTTTTTTAGCGTGGGATGTTCTTTCCTAATCACGAGCACTGTGCGCCCTACTCCCGTGCAAATAATTAAGGGCTAGAGAGTTACGCTTTTACAGTTAGTTAAACATAACGAACATAAAAAAAATTTAGTAACATAGGTGTAAAGAACCAGGAGATTAAAGGCCCTAGTCGGCGCCTCGAGTACGTTTGAGAAAGTGAAGCCCTAAGGGCACCATATGCAGAATTTGAGAATCTCTGTAGTACCCTACTGTACTCGCAGTATTCTTCGCACTTGGGGAATTTCAGCAGGTGCATAGCCTCCGGGCGGGATCCGAGTTGGACATTGGCAATCTGCATTTGCAAGGCAACCCGTTTCTGAGGCGCAACTCGGATCGGAATCGTTTTCGGTCTGGCACCGAATAGCGACGAAGCACGTCATTAACAAAATCCCGACCAACTTCATGGTCTCCTCGATCTTCGTCTAAATAATCCAGAAGAAAATTTGAGAATTTCAACGACAACAAAAAAAAAAAACCAAAAGGAACGAAAACCATGGAACAATGATAGAAATGCCAAACACAGAAAAGCTTCGACTGTCAATCTATCTACTACAGTCCTGCTGATAGCGTCAACAGAAGGATATGCTTTGACAATAAATTGCCTGATCATTTTCTTCGACATTAACCCAAGATAATGGGAAAATGTGCGAACATATGGCGTTTTCGCACGTTTTCGTTATTCAACGAAATTCTATCGAAGGCAGGGAAATCCTCGAGGAAGTACTAAGGTATATTAGTCTTTGTCACCTTTTTTTTTTCTTTGCACGACTGAAAAAATGTTTTTGCAATTTTGTGCAGAAAAAGAGCCCGAGTTCATGAAAATTAATGCTTTCACGCGTACTGTACGTTGAAACAATTTTCACGTCAATATTATCGGGAATTATGAGTGATTATTCACGAAAATTTCCAACCCTGAAAACAGCAATGTGTTTGAAATCGAATTTCAAGGATATGTTCACCATTGACGTCGATTACACAATTTATTTTCAAAGAACGGAAAATAGTTGATGGAAAAAAAGGGAACAAGAGGACTTGGTGGTGGAACCCGGTGGCCAGAAATGAGCACTTTTGTCATCGTTGAAAAATGCATAGCTAATTAGCCATTGTAAACGACTCGTTATTAGAACTCGACGACGATTAGGAATGACTTGGAAGGGCACGCATATATTCGCAGTAAATGTAGGCTTCCATTTTTCCTGGCCCTGGAAATGCGTTTTAGTAGTCGCTGGTTGCCCCAGAATCCCGAACACGCAATGAATGCAATTATACTATTATATAGCGCAATATCCGGCCACTTCGAATGGAGAGTGCTTTTTACATTCAACGATTTTCGCAGGGGGAAAATTAGAGCAATTTTCTCCATTTGTGACGCCTTCGCAAATGAGCAAGGACAAGAGAACTCTTCAGCTTTTGTAACAGCACCTTATAGCATAATTTTATAGTGGGTACGTTTCCATCGCGACTTGCATTCATTTCCAAGTCAGTTGGGTACAGGCTTTCAGAGACGCCAGGATATTAAAAAATATTGACAACAAAATACCCACAGAATTCTTGGAGTTTTTTGTTGTTGTAAAACTTGTAAACCTAATGTGCTTGTGATATAGGAAGCATTCCCGCTGTTGGACAATTTCTCTACAGTATTAAGTACTGCAGTGACTTGAAATTAAAGCTAAATTTTGAATTTTTCTCAGCCATTTTTTTTCTTTCATGATCCTCTGTAAAATCGGACACAAAACTTTCCGCTGAAATAACCGAAGTGCCAGTGATTGAAGGTGCAGCATGAAGGAATTTAATTATATTTCCGAAGTTTCTTTCATACGGATGAAAAATAAATGGGTGCTCATTTTGCCCTTTTCATCGAGATTAAAATCCAGAACAGAATCTTGAAACTTCTTGATAAAATTGCTGAGTGTGTTCAGGTGATCGCAAGTACGTCATTAAACAATTTGCTTATTAAGAGAACACGAAAAAGCGTGCTTCGGAAAAACAAACGAGCGCAGCAGTTGAAAAATGGAACTTTTTTCGTGTTCCGGAACTTCTCAAGGTTTTGCGAAAGATATATCTAAATTTTTATCATTCAATTTTCGGCAAGTCCCGTCCGCGAGTACGTTAGCATACCGTATCAGGATCCAACCGACATCTAGCTCTATACATAGCAATCGTAAATGTATGTTACAATATTCGATACTTCTTGGTTGCTGAGCAATTTGCATTTGATTTCACTCATACTCGTATAATAAATTGCCGTGCACTAGGCTATGATTACACTTCATTCATTCTTGATCAAATTTCGATATCTTTAAAAACTCAAACCTTAATTATTAGCTCGCACTTTTTTTTATGCAAAATAATAGGTACTGTACCTCTTATTATTGGAAGAAAGAGTGTTCCATAAGCTTCACAGAAATAATCAAATTTCGACAAGTTTCGAAACAAAACTTCAGGATTTTTAAAAATCAAGAAAATGAGAAAATAAATTAAGCATATGTTGTGCATAATCTTCTCTTTACAATGTGTAAAATGCAGGATAAAGTAAGAATAAGAAGCTGCTCTACTTACACACGAATTAATTTTAAAATAAAAAATTTAATCCTGAATAAGTTAGGAAAAATATGCAGTTTATCCTGGTATTTTTGGTGACTACAGCCCGGAAAGAATGAAATTATTCACGATGTAACTTCGAGGGAAAACGCATTATGAAAATTCCGCGTAACGAAACGCACCCAGAAGGATAGATTACCGTTGAAAAATATACATGCTAAACTGGTCACGTTTTCTTTGGAATCATGATGATTTTTACACCCTTTAATCATGATATTGACAGACAAATAATGTGGTCGTACTTCGAGACATCGTCGGTGCTCGGTTTATCGCACACTGGTCAAGCTGCGACGTCAAAAAACTATTTGCGAGCCTCGCTTTGGTTCGCCATCACGTTCATTCTTTGGGGTCTCACAGGAATACTGTTGTACAAAATTGGGATAGAATTCTTGCAATACCCGGTTTTGACCACCATCACTGTTCAGGCGAGCCAAGGCCAGCTGACATTCCCGACGGTGGTCTTTTGCAATCATAGTCCAATCACTTGCAATCAGCTTTTCAAGATCAGTTTGAAACGACCGGATTTGTGGAAAGCTAGTGGATGCCTGGTCGGGGTACAAATTGTCAACTACGTGACGAACGCTACTAATGAGTTCAATTTACGGCGAGGAATTATCATCCCCAGGGAATTCCTCGAAGCTGACGCTGATGGATCCGTTCCACTGATCGATTATTGGGCCCATTTGTACCTTGACCCGAAAAGAATAGTCGACATGCTCTTGGACAACCGGTAAGACATTTTTTAAATGTGCTTTTGATTATCCACGCAAACATACTTTCCCTGGAGAATTAAATGAACCGCCCCAAGAAATTGAAAATGAGGATCTCTATACTCAATTAATGCAGCCTCAACTCATCATTTTATTTATTGAAAATACTCGACTTCTTAATGCAGTACCCGAGTTTTCTAAGCTTAAATGCCTCACACATGATTCTCAATCACCTAGCTAGCTGCCTTTCACTACAAAAAGGGTTGTCAAATTCAGGATTGCCATCAAAGGGATTCGATGAGATTCCTTCCTTGCACTTTCGAAAGGCAATTTCTGTTTATACAGATCAGTAAGTTTCCAGGAAGCTGACAAAAATTTCCGCATGATGAGAGGAAGTTTATCGCTTTTTACACCACTCCAGTTTTTTATTGAACCTTTTTGAAGGTTTGGGAATGACATCATAAACAGCGTAGTTTCTGAAAAAAAAAAATTCTGAAAGGAAGAGGCGAGATGGTGACTGACATATCATGTGAGCTTTTCAAAAATGTACTTATCAGTTTTACGTTTTATATTCCAGTGAGGATGCTGATTATAAAATGCCGGAATGGATTTGAAGTTTTCGTAGTGAATGTGAAATTAAATAATTCAGATATTAGGATAAATGTTAATCGCCTCGGNTTTTTCTCGACTGCAGAACTGAACTGCTGTTGACAGACCTTAATGAGTTCATGAACTTCGAAATGGACGGAATCCGAGATTCCTGGTCAAAGAATCAAGACGTGGAGCATCACTTTGCTTTGCTACATTTGGACGCAGCGATACGCGGCTGGAAAGTCCGGTCCAACTTCATAACTGCGCTAAAATTCTCTTCCAACGTGAATGGCACTTACGACATGGTCAGCATGCGCCGAATTCTTGGCAACTGGTATTTCGACAAACGTGGAAACGAGCTTTCATTGCCGCCCGACACCGATTTCAACGCCACCAAACTGGCTTGGGTTGAATATGTAGCTACTCTCCAACAGATGTCGCCTGCTACCTTTCAGCAGCTTCACAATTTCACCCTGGGTATAAGCCTTATATAAGTCCCGATGAGATTTTCAACATTTTTCTTAACTTTTCCGCTTTATTTAAAATTTGTAAATGCGAAAGTTTTAGGCAACATTCTTCGTGCACCACCACAATTGGCGCACATTCGTTACTTAAATACGTGCATAAAATCGTTCCACGAGTATTTTGTATATACGAATATACCCCATATTTTGTGCACAACTTGTGCAGGGTTCTGTCCTATATAAGGGATCTGCATCTACATTATACAGTACTGTACTATCATAACGTGTCTAGAAAAAACTAGTCAAGTGTCCGTTATTCAACCTCCCGATGAAACAACACATTAGTCAATCCTTTCCGCAATTGGTTGTAATTCTGATAAAAAAAAGTGAAGCTGTGCTAAATTAACCTTCAAACGTTCGCATTTTTTGATCAGAATTCTGCGCATCGCGTGTCAATAAGGTTTAATTAAAACGCCGTGCTTCTAATACGAATTGAATCAAGGAAACCATTTTGAAAATCATGTTTTCCATGAAGAATTCTACTTCTATAGCCGAACAGAAAAAGATCCAACATTCTGAAACGCCGAAATAATTCAATCTTATATTGTCCGATGTTTTTTACACACACTAAAAAAAGTTGTGCGATGAAATTTTATGAAAATATCTGACTTTATTTATTTTATTCCATTGTAAACGAATTTCTGGATTGACTCATTGCAAATTTTCCTTCTTTGTTCGAAAATATTTAAAGATTAAAATTCGGAATAAAATTCTAGGTATTTATTAACTACGTTTTTATTTTTTTAGGGTTCCTTGTGTACTTGACGGAATTTCTGGCACCGACTTACACAGATTTCCCGTCGCTTTTACGGATGTACGGTGACCCAAAAGTAGCAGAACATGCAGTCCAAGAACTAATCAAGATGCTTACGATGCAATTCCATTTTCCATCAGCACAGCTTCAGAATAATGAAGTACGCACCCAATGGTATTAATACGGATGTACGGTGACCCAAAAGTAGCAGAACATGCAGTCCAAGAACTAATCAAGATGCTTACGATGCAATTCCATTTTCCATCAGCACAGCTTCAGAATAATGAAGTACGCACCCAATGGTATTACAATATATCAGCGAACCCAGAGTATGCTTTGGGATTCGAAATTGCCACTGCAAACAACTCCTGGTTAATCATATTTGACAGCCATCCAAAACTCAGTCAATAACGGAGAATGTGAGAGATTTAAATTGATTAAATCCCTTGAAATGTGACTTGCTGGTATCAACAGGAAGTTGCCAGGGTCAGGGTATTGCTACGGAAATGAGGGGAAACTTCTTATAATGAAATGAGGGCTTTTTTTATTCGTTTTAATGATACTTTATTCGAATGATTTTCAATCACGAAAGTGTTGGAATATATACGTGACCACTTCGACAGAGATCCATTTCTTTGATTGGTCTCGATTTACTGATGCATAATTTAAAAGTATTTCTAACATTGATTATACCACTCAAGCCAAACAGTATCATTTCCCCCCGAATCTTTTCTGCATTTTTTTTTTCAACTAATGACAAAAGCATCCCTCTCACAGGAAAAAGATATTTAATATTAAATTTAGAGTAAGCAGTTTTTAAGCAGTCGTCAACTCGTTCTATCAATTCGAATAATGGGTGTAAAGAAATCTTCCAAAATCTTTAGGCTTCTGAAGAAGAGGCAAAATTGGTCGAAGCTAACTACGACTTTGCTCAGCATCTAAGCGATCTGAAACGAATGCCGAACGAAAAACTGCAATCAAATCTATTTTGGAGTCTAGCATTAGAATCGTTCCATGAGCTTGAGCCTTATCTGCAACAAAGTGCCGATGAAATGCTGCAGACTTGCGAATTTAGTGGGAAACCTTGCGATCCGAGTCAGTGAGTTTGTTCATCGAATTTTATTCATACTCGAAAATGTGATTCAATTTTTTGTTTTTTGTTTTGCTGACTAGGATAGGTACGCATGTATCGGTAAATTACGGGCATTGCGTGACGTACAACTCTTTCCCTGCGGCCAACGATACCACTTACAAACCCAGCATAGCGACATCTGACGGAATCGATGGAGGTAGGGCTTTTTTTATTTCAATGGTACCCTGCTTGCGCTCGAATAGTTCCTAAAAGTTTGCCTGATAGAATTTCCCATGTTTCCTGTTGCATCAGTTTGATACTTACTGAGCCAACAATAGAGCATTATGCCCCCAAAAAAAAAGCCTCTTCCCTGGAGAAAGAATAAGCTCTCAATCGAAAGTCATTTTTCCTGTAGATATCAAAGGATGCATCACGTTTTGATAGGAAACATTTTGTCCGGCTGCTAGATGCTGCCGCACAGCTGAAATAGCAAGGCATTGCAGCAGCACAGTCTGGGCTCATGATGTCACAAGTGCGCTTGTGACGTCAGAAGCACAGATCCAGTTCTAACTGGTTTGCCTCCTTCCTGGCAAACCAGAGGCAAGGAGGAGGGGGAGAGTAGCCACCAAAGCTAAGGCTTCTGGGCAAAATAAGTCATCATTTAGGCTAGTTTTATTGCTGAGGAAGGATCTCCAATCAGGAGCTCTTTTTGCTGTGTCAATCTGTGCATGATGTGTATTTTGTTGAGAGTTTGCTGATGGGACCTGTGATGAGCCACGGATGCAAAGGCACAACCTTCTTTCATACAGAGAGTTGAGTGTCTCTACATTGCTCCTGCTCTGAGGCCCAAATCACCTAAAATCCTTGGCTGAGCTAATTATTCTAATTTAAACTTGACCCTTTGTCAGTTCTGGGCTCTGGCAATTTTTTTTTTCAACTGTAAGGATTTCACAAACACGTGGAATATTTTAAATTGAAGAAAACCATTTGCAAGTACGGTAAATAACCTAACTCCATAATGCGGTGTGATACGATTTACTTGAAGAATGGCATGCCACATTAATTTCAAGATTATGGGAAAATGCTTTTAAAAAGCACAGGAAAAACTATTATAGGAAATTAGTTTACCTCTCATTTCGAATTTCCGGGATTGTGGCATGTATACGCAAATGATAAAACTTGTATAAAAGGATAATGGGTTTCGTTCCACGTTTTGTACATTTTTCAGCTCGAAAAAAAGGATCTCTATCTGTATGAAGCGTTGTTTTATTGGATCCCTCGCAAATTACATGACACACATAGATTTCCTATAGATATAAAAATCAAACTCTTTGTTCAGAGCGGGTTTTATGATTATCACTCTACAATTATCAGGACTTAAAATCAGACTGAAGATCAACGAGGATGAATATATTCGAGTGCCGAGCCAAGTTACAACTGCGGGTTTGAAAGTGGGAATATTCCCATTTGGATCCCCGCCAAATGTTGAGGAAGAAGGGATCGACGTTGTTCCGGGTCAATCAACTCACGTCCGTTTGAAATCGGTGATCTTATTGAATCGAAGCCATGTTTTAAATATTTTATAATTATTGCGGTTATTTTTACTCTTTTCACTTGAAAAGGTATTGCTGAAGCGTCTGCCGGATCCGTATCCTTCGGGATGTCAAGACGGCTGGGATGGTACGCTATACACTTATGGAAATTTTAGATACGACTATCGGGTAAGTTTTGAATCACATTTTTATTCATGTAAATTGTACCACGTAAATTAATCAGTTACTCAGCTGAGTCAGCTCACATCAACTTGACTATTGAAATGAAAACTCATGAGAAATGATTTTAACTCGATAATAGCTCCAGAAATCCATGATGAACTTCTATCAGTTCGTCAGAGATTTGAAAAAACAGTATTTGGGAAAATGAGTGAATGATTTATAAATACTGTACATACACCTAGCAGTACTAGTTATAAAAAAGTAGAGTATTTAAAAAAGTTTTTGAGTGCTAAAAAAATGAAGTTCTTTGAGTCGAGCTTCCATGCAGAATATAAAACTATTTCGACTAAGGTTCAGCATGATATTTATAAATTGTATCCACAGTTAAATTGTTCCGTGCATGATCTCTTAGCATACGTTGAAATACGTGAACGCTGACAGATTTTGTGCCGATTTGTGACTGTAACTTCCAAAATAGGCAGTTATCTCTGGGTACTGAATGCAATCGTATGCAAAATGCCTCTCGTATTTCTTCAACAAGTTTTTATAAAAATTAATCACAGAGTTGCAGACGATTTTGCACGGGACACAACATATTCTTGAATTGTGAATGCATCGACCCGCAATCAAACGCCCAGGACATCGTAGTGAACGGAACGTCGATTTTTCATCTCAGTCAGCGTTGGTGCAATATGTCGACCCCAGGCAAGTAAATCAAGGTTTCGAAGTTTAAATTCTTTTTCTGACCTAATTTATATTTCAACTAAATTTTTCGTCGTTTTATTGATTCACGCACGTATGATCTCGATTTTTAGCGAATAAGGATTATCAATGCGTGCGGGACATTCGTCTAGGAAATTTCAACGCTTCGAAACCCTTTTCTTGTCCCTGCAAACCGGCTTGCGAGTGAGTCACAGAACTAAAGTAATAATGTTTTTTAATCATGATGCATCCGTGTCAGTTCATTCGATTTTACATTTTGATTCAACTTTTTTTTAGCGTGAGGACCTTTGAAACACAAATTTCTAGCTCCGCTTTTCCTGCTCGGGGCTTCATTGTAAGTGTGATGGGTTTACAGTATTTGAATACAAGTGTAATGACAAACAAGATTTTTTCGTGGTCATTCTTTTTAGGAATCAGCTGTAATCAACGCTGGGATTCATCCTTTGAAACTGCGACGAGATTGGGAAGGTATCAAGCAGTCACTCATTGAGGTGAAAGTTTACTACAGCTCTTTGGACGAGTATTTGACGGAGGAGACCGAGAAAAACACGGTAACTCATTTTTCAATTCCTCGTGGATTTTATTTTTTGCGGATAACTCATGCACAATATGACCTCGGTTACCTGGCTTCAATTAACTGGCCAACTATACTAAAACATCAATGATATTCTCGGTTTGAAAATCCCAGAAGTACAGGATGCGATACGAGGAAAAGATATCTGCTCAGGTTGAAAGGATTTCGGGTAGATGTCGCATGGTATCTGATTCTGGCTCCCTTGGCGATTATCCGTGATATTCGTATAATCTTTCAAAGCGTAATCGGTCATAAAAACTGGGTAATGGATGACCTTTTGTTTTGCAGTTTTTCTCCATGTGCAATGAAGTTGGTGGAGCAATGGGACTCTTACTTGGGCTGTGTGGTTTCAACTTGATTGAATTACTCGTCATGTCGATGGACATCGGATTGGGTCGATTTTCGAAGAATAATGTGAATTCAGCCAAAGCGGATCTTCAAAATAGTACGGGTAAAATCAGTGAAATAAGCTATCCAAGGACTCCGGCTGGAAAAGAACAATTGATGATAAAGCCATTCTTGGCCGATGACGATTTCATGACGAGACGTCGCAATAATAACTCGTTTTCCGGGACTTTAGGACAATAATTGATTTGACGGTATCTTATTATCGGATAATCAGCACTTTCTGCATGCAAGCAGCGCGGCTATAGCTTTGGTTTAAGAAAAAAACATTAGACGTGATATCATTAGTTTTGGCGGAGAGATCATGTCTCGATTTATGTTTTGGTCATGCAATGGCCAAAAGATGAATGTTGCTGTTGTATTTTCGAAACTTGACGCCCAATGAATTATTTGATGATGATTGTTTGTGGTTTCAAATTGTATTTAATTACACTATATAGCCTTTTATGTGTATATTATTTATTTTACTCATGGAAGCTTGAAAATATCTTCACGGTAGCAGAAATACAGATCATATAACAAATACATTCAATTTCCTCTGTTTAAGGCATCGAATTTTTTTTTTATTTTAACCGTGAGCTTGACGTCATGTTTTATTGGGTTATATGAAACTTCTTTTTACGATCGCACTTTCATGAATTGGCTCAACCTTTGCGAATGACATAAACAGGATACTGTATTTCTGAAAAATTTATGGTCCAGGGCCACGAAATAAAAAGAGCAAAACTTGTTTACTTGGCCTACGCGCAAATGTGAGCTTTTTTCATATTTCTCGGAAAACTTCTCATGAATCATATGAAGAAAGTATGCCCAAGGCTATTTTTTCACAGCCTTCATGGGTACCTAGGATTAACCTGAAAGGTCAAGGAATGATCGAAATTTCTTCTGCCCTGAGAGGCAGCAAATCTTTTTTGACTTCATGCATGAATCAGGTAGGCAGCAGTCACTGACCTTGGGTCATAAGCCAAAATTTGCTTTTCACACAGGAATAAACCCTGCCTCCGTCAAGCAAAAGAAAAAAAACAAAACAAAAAACAAGCCGTCTCCGCCGTTCAAAGTTTACAACAGCGGACGTGGGATTCGCTCAAGTGTTTTGCGACGCGCAGGCAGTTGATCGCACTTCATTTAAAAGTTATCTTTTTTTTTTTAAAGAATTGCTATGAATATTAATTTTGTTTTGCAGCGTCACTTTTACCTCAGGGGAGGGGGATGTTGACGTTACTGTTCAAACTAATGCTTCAACGAGCCAGAACGTCAACTACGATAAGTTGAAGCTATACCGTTTTTTTTTAGTACAGAGTGTTGAACTGCTGTTCAGAGAAAAAAAATTGGCTGGTTACTTCAGTCACACTCACACCAAATGCAGATAAAAAAATTTTGGTCTTACTTTTTTTTCCTTGAACAAAGGCGAATTTTACTGTGTTTCCGGAAAAATATTGACATGAGTTACAGAAGAATTCATCAAAATGACAAGATTAGTTGATGAATGAGTGTGGGACATTAACTGTCATTTGATTTAGCATTTATTGTTGCTCGAAGTGTTTCTCATGATCGCTTAAATTTATACGGTACCTGTAATAAGGTATTATTTTCGAGTTAAGCTGACATTTAAGAAGAAACCTGGGAATCCTAGTTTAGATCAAATTACAGTAATATGTAAGCATCATTTTTTTTGAAAAATTGTGGAAGGACGAAGTTGTTGAAATGCTGTCTCATATGGTTGTGAATTTGTATCTTCGAAACTTTTTATGTGCGTGCTTCTTGTGAAAAGTGCTTGTGTGGAGAAAAATAAATTAATATGGTTTCTGATGGAATAATAAAGAGCCCATGGCCAGTAAGAAACGTGGAGGATGCGAAACGGAAAACAGTTTGGGAATTCATTGAATCACGATTGCCTCAAATTGCTGCTGCAGACCAAAACAAGAAATTATTCGTGAGTTGAAGATCAAAATATCGATGTTTTTTCCATGAATCATAAGCTGTTTGAAATTCGAACCGAAAATGTTCTTCCTTTTTACAGATCGATGGCTCAACTGACGACACACTCACGTATGCTCAATTTTTTGAAAGGGCGAAACGTTTGTCAAGTTTCTTCCACTTGAATGCTGGAGTGCAAAAAGGATCAAAAGTGATTGTTTGTTGTAAGAACAACCTAAACTTCTATGTGCCAGTTTATGGCGCCAGTGCACTTGGTGCCATTGTTTTCATTGTTCCTGTATTTTCGCATGGTATGTATATAATTCCACCATATATTATGCATTATAAATAGGGAATTACTGAAGGAACCTTTGGCTTAAAAATATATATCATCTGCGTTATATATGAAGCTTGAATATGCTTCTTAAAAAACGAAGACTGTGATTTATTTTTTATCATGTCACGCTTCTGCCAAATGCTATTTATGAGTTTCTCTCCGAATTTCTTTCCGAATGGAAACAAAATAGTAATGTACTCACTCTGCGAGAAAAGTTGGCGAGGGCGAATCGGCAAAAAATGGCAAAAGAACTCGCACGGGACAAGTTGGTGTTCGTCAGTTTAACTTCTGGCGTTATTTTGTTAAATAAAGTCAAAACTAGTGTTTTGATGCAAGATTCGTGATTTTAATCATTTCAAGGGACCTTAAAATTATCATTATAGTCAATTGAAGTCATTCATATAAATTGCTTCCTAGACAGGAATTGATTCTGATTCAAAACAGTGATTTTCTTATCTTGTTAGGTGTTTCAATAAAATTGCAAAAACGACGCAAATTATTCTGCGCTGAATTTTGCACGCGAAAAGGCTGATTAAATTTGGAGATGATTGGGGGGGGGGGGGGGGATTCGGTTTCTGGACTGAGCACCAATTTTAATATAAATTTCCTGGAAAAACGTTTTGGAATCGGTTTGGTTTTAAAGATGCATGTTGATTTTTAGTTACCTTTATTTCTGCTTTCACAATTTTGCATCATGCACAGTTTTTACTTTATATATTTTTTCGAACGTCCGATAGATTGCATACCAGCTTGTTTGGCGGAAGAAGCTCCGGTTTCAGTCATTGTCACTGACAAGGCCATGCTGCCAATCATTTTAAAATATGTTGCTGAGTCAGTGGATGATGACACAAAAATTGCCTCGAAACCAACAATTATCTTCATGGATTACGAGAGCGAGACTTACGAAAGCATTCCTTCAATTATACAATCGAGCGAAGACGACGGAAAGGAGGCAATGGGTAATTAAACAAATTTTAACTTGGGGCTTTTGATACAGTATACCCTGAAAAGTCAATTTATAATCGTTTGACTCTTCTATTTTTTCCAAGAACTGCCAAAATGTGAACCAATGGACGATTGCTTCGTTTTCTACTCCAGCGGCAGCACAGGCCCTTCAAAACCAATCACACACAGCCACGCGAATATGCTTTCATTCCTCGTGAATTCGCCTGAATCGTGAGACATAAATTTCATTTTATAGTTGAAACATAACCCAGAGATTTAAAAGTAAACTGAACCTATAGGTGGTTTGGGGACGACAAATATGAAGAAATTCGTCTCACAAATTTATATCAAGGACACATCGCAGCAGCCGTGATTTTCCTTCAGATAATCGCTGTTGGGTCCACTTCCGTCATATTTACTGATTTTAAACCGGATCAGCTTATCCCTGCCATAGAGAAGCACAAGGTGATCTTAAATCAAAGGTTTTTATGGTGAAATTTATTGAAAAATAAATATTATTCTGGGGTTGGCGTCAAATTACAGGCGATGGCATTGGGTTTGTATCCCAGAGAGGCAATTTACTTGTCCAAGGCGGAAAACTGGCAAGACTTTGACTTGTCTTCGGTGCGAGAAATTTGTGCAGCTGCTGCAACATTCCCCATGTCGATTTTGGACAAAATCAGAACGATTTTCCCTAACGTGCAGAAGCCACTATTTCAGGTGATTTTAAAACGAGTACTTGATTTTAAAATGAGTATAATGTTGCTTCTTTTTCAAGGTTTATGCGAGCACAGAGCTCATTTACATCTGCACTTCTTCCGGCGTTGAAGCGAATGAGGCTGAAGCAGGAGTTGGACACGTGATGCCATCTGTTCAGATCACCGTAAATAATGGTTCCAAAATTATTGTTTGATGTGTCCAGGATCTTTTTTTTTTTTATGGGAAAGTTGTGTACGTTGAATGTACGCTGCATTCTTCAGATTGTGGACGTTGTCACCGGAGCGACTCGAGGACCAAATGAGCCCGGAGAAATTTGGATTAAAAGTCCTTTCCGTCTAAAAGAATACCGAAATCGTCCTGAGGTAAAAAAAAAATTGCATTGCTTTTCTTTATTCTGGGTCTTCAGAAGACATTAAGCCGATTTTCTGATATTATATAATCCACTGAAAAAACGTCCAATTAGCAGAAGTTCATTTCGATTGTCATTCAAATTATTTGCAATTTTATGATTTTTGTTGCATCGGTATGATCAAGACGCGGATTCGAAAGAAAAATAAGAATTAACAATTGCGTATTTCATTTTCTATATAATAATTTTGAGGGGTTATTTGAGCAAATAATGTCCTGAATTCCTGCGTCTTTAAATGTGGCTGATCGACATTTAACGATCAGTTTTCCTGAAAAATCTATCCCTGATTTGGAGTTGAATTTTTCTGAAAATATTAGTGTTAGAATTTTTCCAATATTTTTTCGACTATATTGAGAAGAAAACGATACTTATTTGGATGCTTCTAGTATAAAGCGTTCCCATTGTAATTAGTCCAGACTTGAGGAACTAAACAATTTCCTACCCTTTCGATGGATTTCCAAAATTTTCGATCCGCGTCAGGTGTTTTTATTTTTCGTTTTGGTTATCATTCCCAAACTTGATTGTTTTTTTCTGTATTCTGTTTCTCTTCTACATGAGTAATTTCTAGTTGCTGCCTTCAATTCAGATTCAGTCTAAATTCCTGAGCCCTCGCTAACTCAGGTTTTTACTTTTTCCGATAGCATATGTTGAACTATCATTTTCTCATGTCTATTCATTTTTGCTTATTTACTCATACATTATCTTTGAAGCAAGAAAAGTTCATAGACCTGTTTGCTTAACCCGTCAATCAGATTTCTGAAACGCCAGAGCAATAAAAACGGGAGCTGGATTGAAAGTTACAAAGACTGAAGTTTTCAACTTCGCAAAAAACTTCTGAGGTGGGAATGATCAACAAGCATTAGTTGGATATAATGATCGAGCTGTTGATCTTTCCGAAAATGATTTTAGTAGGTTCATTTGCATTGTTGGAAAAAAATCATCATGAAATTCTCCGTCGTTTTACAGCTCACGAAAGCCGCGTTGACTGATGACGGCTGGTTCAAGAGCGGGGATTATGGGTTCTACGACAATCACACGAGAGTTCACATCTTGGATAGGGTCAAGGACCTCGTCATTCTTCAAGAAATTTGTGCAGCTGCTGCAACATTCCCCATGTCGATTTTGGACAAAATCAGAACGATTTTCCCTAACGTGCAGAAGCCACTATTTCAGGTGATTTTAAAACGAGTACTTGATTTTAAAATGAGTTAAATATGTTGCTTTTTTTTCAAGGTCTATGCGAGCACAGAGCTCATTTACATCTGTACTTCTTCCGGCGTTGAAGCGAATGAGGCTGAAGCAGGAGTTGGACACGTGATGCCATCTGTTCAGATCACCGTAAATAATGGTTCCAAAATGATTGTTTGATGTGTCCAGGATCTTTTTTTTTTTTATGGGAAAGTTGTGTATGTTGAATGTACGCTGCATTCTTCAGATTGTGGACGTTGTCACTGGAGAGACTCGAGGACCGAATGAGCCCGGAGAAATTTGGATTAAAAGTCCTTTCCGTCTAAAAGAATACCGAAATCGTCCTGAGGTAAAAAAAATTGCATTGCTTTTCTTTATCCTGGGTCTTCAGAAAACATTAAGCCGATTTTCTGATATTATATAATCCACTGAAAAAACGTCCAATTAGCAGAAGTTCATTTCGATTGTCATTCAAATTATTTGCAATTTCATGATTTTAGTTGCATCGGTATGATCAAGACGCGGATTGGAAAGAAAAATAGGAATGAACAAATTGCGTATTTCATTTTCTATATAATATTTTGAGGGGTCATTTGAGCAAATAATGTCCTGGATTCCTGCGTCTTTAAATGTGGCTGATCGACATTTAACGATCAGTTTTCCTGGCAAATATATCCCTGATTTGAAGTCATACGTCGAGTTTTTCTGAGAATACTATTTTTAGAATTTTTCCAATATTTACTCGACTATATTGAGAAGAATACGATATTTATTTTGATGCTTCTAGTATAAAGCATTCCCATTGTAATTAGTCCAGACTTGAGGAACTAAACAATGTCCTACCCTTTCGATGGATTTCCAAAATTTTCGATCCGCGTCAGGTGTTTTTATTTATCATTTTGGTTCATTCCCAAACTTGATTTTTTTTTCTGTATTCTGTTTCTCTTCTACCATGCATGAGTAATTTCTAGTTGCTGCCTTCAATTCAGATTCAGTCTAAATTCCAGAGCGTCGCTAATCATATTTTTCCTTTTTCCGAAACCATTTGTTGAACTATTATTTTCTCACGTCTATTCATTTTTGCTTATTTACTCATACATTATCTTTGAAGCAAGAAAAGTTCATAGACCTGTTTGCTTAACCCGTCAATCAGATTTCTGAAACGCTAGAGCAATAAAAACAGACTTCAGGGAGCTGGATTGAAAGTTACGAAGACTGAAGTTTTAAACTTCGCTAAAAAATTCTGAGGTGTGAATAATCAACAAGCATTATTTGGATATAATGACCGAGCTGTTGATCTTTCCAAAAAGGATTTTAGTAGGTTCATTTGCATTGTGGAAAAAAAATCATTATGAAATTCTCTGTCGTTTTACAGCTCACGAAAGCCGCGTTGACTGATGACGGCTGGTTCAAGAGCGGGGATTATGGGTTCTACGACAATCACACGAGAGTTCACATCTTGGATAGGGTCAAGGACCTCGTCATTCTTCCGAACGGAATCGCTGTGAATATTCCATATTCCATTTCGTTGCCTCAGGCGATGGAAAATGTGTATACAGTAAAAGGATCAGCTGTCTCATCGTTTAAAAATGCAGGTTCCACCGTCGAAAATTGAGGACATCATTCTGCAGCACCCGGCAGTTTTTCAAGTCGGAGTCGCGGGAATTCCGTCCGAGAAAGAGGAGGGATGTTTGCCTCGGGCATTCGTTATTCTGAAGCCAGAAGCTGAAAAGCTCGAGGAGAAGGATATCGTTAATTTTGTAGCTGGTTGGTGCCTCTTTTTTTCTAATATTTTGTGGATGATCTGGGCTGACAGTCATGTTTTGGATTATGTAACACAGCGAATACCACGGAAGCGAACTACAACTTGTCTGGAGGAGCCGAGTTTATTACAGGCATGGTGACGAGCCCAGGCGGAAAAATCTATCGCATGAAGTTGAGGGAAGACTATCTGAAACGATTTGAAAATATTTGAATTAAAGTGCTACTCAAGATCAGCGAATAAAAAACAGAGAAGACTCGGAATGATGAAACATTGGCAGAATTCCAATTTTAAGTTTCTGATTATTTCTTTTACAAACTCTTCAAAATTGGCCAATTTTGGATAATTTCTCATCAATTTTTGCAGGTTTATCGCTCTCCTCATTTCAAAGAGAAGGAGATCCGCAAAAAATTGGGTTACATTTTTCGAAGGTAGCTTCCAAAAAAATCGACCTTTTTGAGTCTTCCTCATATATGGTATGCTTGATAATTTTAGTGATGTGAAATTTGTTGGAGAATTTCTCTCGCACATAAACCTAGCCGAAAAATGCAGATGTCCATCAATTTATAGAGTTTGTCACTTCTGGTGACATTGGTGATGAGTTGATGCCTTGATGTATGTTTATTTTTCTATTATTGCCACCGCATACATTATCAAAGTGGAATCGATTTGTTTTAGATGTGGAAGACGGGAAATGATCCAGACAGTAAATTCAAATCATATTTTAACCGAAGCTGTCCTAGCTTCACATGGAATTTTGTCAATACAGTACTGCGTATGGAAAACCGAACCAGCACAAAAAGATTACACTTGCCTCGTAAATATTCCTTTACATATATGGTCATGGACCCGGAAAATCGAAGAATTTATTTAGTAGGTCTTTCTACAGCCCCTGAAGATTTCTGATATAAATTTATTGAACGGAATAATTTAAAATCACGTTTTAAATACAGAGCGATCCACATTTAGTGAGTTTGTCGATCGTCGCTCCATTTGTCTGTCCATGTTTTTCCAAGGATTTCCTGCAAATCGGTGTCCGCTCACATTCAATGATAAATATTTTATCGATCAAAATCCATTGAGAAAATCAATTTTTTCTGCTGGCTCGAAAGATAAATGCCAAGTTTTTATTTTTCGTCGGGTTTTAGAATCTAGTCAGTAATGGACAATGGCTTTTGTCTTCGTTGGTACTGTATAAAAAAACTTGACATATCGCCTACTTTTGGTCCTATTTGAGCCAAGATACTTATGCGATAGAAGCTTGACTAGTTTCGCTCCGGTCTGGTTGCCGTTGGTGCATCAGACTTGAACTATTATATTGTGACATTTATTGCCGAGGGGAAAAGGAGCCGCAGCAACGTGCCTTAGATTCCCTTCTTCCCGATAACCGAACAAGAATCTATCTTGGAATGTGAATCTTGTTCATCTCAGTTTAACACGGGTCACGTCCCAGGATGTCGCGTTTGCTGGGCCCTGATGGAAAAAAGTCCTGGAATTATTATTAAGGTAGTCAGCAGGGGAATACAGTGAAATATGCACCACATTTATTCTATGAGCAGTTTCAGACGCGAGAAAGAATGTCTCCCGATGAAGGGGAGAAATTGTATTTTATATTCCAGGATTTTTGGGTCAATTGGAAGACAAATTTGAAGAAAACAAAAAATACTGAACAATAGGGAAAAATGCAATTGGTGTGCGTGTGTTGAGCAATCAAATAGTTTCGATGCCGAAAACTCGTGTTCGCAAACGAGTAGTAAAATGGGTTGCGATCAAAAAATGTTCGATGTCCCGACGATTTATTCTGCTTCGGTATTTTTTTTTAGAACTTTTGGAGATTCTATGCTGGTGGTCTTCATACTTGTCAGAAGCGAAGACCTAAAATTCCGTCGTTGAAATAATAACGGTTTCGAAAGAATACGTATGTCGGACTTGTTCTGGAATATATAAAGAAAAACACTGATGGTAACTTCAGAAGACCACAAATTAATGCTCTGAAGAGCAAATGCAATAATTGCAAGATTTTAAACTATTTTTTATCAAGAAAGAAGGAAACTTGATTTAATCAGGACATCCGTGAAAACAGACTGAAGAAATTCCAGGCTAATTCTGACATCCAAGAATTTTTTTCAACATTCTCCAGGGACGTTTTGAACTATCAAATTATATGGCGAAACATACAATTGCCGAATTTAAAGTAAGAAATTCAGAAACAAATGTTTTTATTAAAAAAAAGACAATTGATGGGAGTATTGTTTGAGGGACCACAGAAAACTAGTGCAACAAATTCTGGCGGAAAAATTACAGCTGAAAATCTTTCTGACTTAATCGTGGAGCAGGACGAAAAACTTTAAAAAAATGAAGTAAATAACTAGCCAGGTCTAGCCTTTTAGCTCACAAAAAATAACTACGGTATATTAAATTGGAACCTGGTCTCCTTTGCTGTGCACGATATGAGAATCCTTTTTCTCCCGCAATCAACTTCAGATCAAAATACAAATTTGAGGTTCAATTATTGAGTTTCCTTACAAACATACACAAAAACAATCATTTGTTTGTGATGCGGAAGTCCAACCTTAATAATTATTCAAGCATTGATCGCGGAAACCCAGTGCTGCTATAGACTCAGCAGGTTCAGGTTTCTTTGCATCTCGTACCCAACGACCCCTTGAAATGCATGCCGACCTTTCCATATTTAACGACAACTATTCATCCCGAACGTGTCCCACACCGAACACTGAGAGCATGTCATTTTTTTCTTTCAAAAATGATTTATTGATGTTTTTCCAACCGGAGAATACGTTTCTAACGATGTCGCTGCTAAATTCTCACAGCACATGTCACCTGCAAAGGTTTATTTTCCTCTTATTTAAATAAGCGCTTATAATGCTGAACATGTATTGATAGATTTCTGATGATGTTGGGTGAGCTGTCACGACGGGGTGTAGGGGTAGGCAAACTTCTGCTCGATTTTCTTTGCCATTCCTCTCACTTGACGATTATAAACGCTTGGCAATTGCAGGAAAGCATACAAACAAAAACCCCCAGGCAAGGGCACTGTTAGCCTGGGGAATGTTACTACTTACCTTACCAAATTCTCTTCACTGCGAATATTGAACCACTTCCCCTGTAAGGATCCCCCCAGCCTCAGATTTTTAGTGGGCTATATACGGAACTTTGTATCCGTCCCTTTTTTAAGGGTGGGCTGGGAGTTATTATATGGGCCAGTGAAGAGAATTTGGTAAGGTAAGTAGTAACAT